ATTCTTTAATATTCATTACCGCTAAATACCTAATTAAAAAATAATATTCTACATAGTATTTATTCAAAAACAGTATTTGTTTTTGCAAAGTAGCGATGGAGAATAAAAAGCACAATTGGAAATTTTTCATTTTATTTATTTCTAACATAGAAGTGAACTAAAAATAAAACCAAATTTTTAATAATTTTCCATTATGTCAGAAAATATTCGGCAAAATTACTGCATTATTACGGTAATTATTTGGAATTTTTTGGGTAAAATTTGGGAATTAATGCGGTAATTGTATAGTATATTTTCGGTAACTGTACAGCATAAGTGCAGTATATATACTGGATATTTACAGTATAAAAACTGGCCAAAACAACTATAGTTTAACCGCATTATTACCGAATTATAACGGCAAATATATGGCAAATATTTTCTTAAAACCGCGAGGGCCTTTCCGACCGTCTTTGATCTACCTGGCTTCGCCAGCAATCAGCTCAGACTATCTTCTCTTATTTTTTATACAATATTTTATATTCCTTAAGAGATTAAAATATACTTTCTAATATTTCTATGATTACTTATGTTGAGAGCAATTAGGTAGTAAATTTATATATTTATGGCTTAATCCTCTTTTCTATCTTATTATTCCTAGTCTATTGTGATAAATTTTCAGAGAGTAAAAATACATTTTAACAATAACCTTTTTTTCTAATAGCTAAAAGTCTAGACCTAGGTTGTGGGGCTTTATTTTTATAATAAGGAAACTTTTGGGAAAGCCCCACAACCTAGGTCTAGACTTTTAGCTATTAGAAAAAAAGGATATTGTTAAAATGTATTTTTACTCTCTGAAAATTTATCACAATAGACTAGGAATAATAAGATAGAAAAGAGGATTAAGCCATAAATATATAAATTTACTACCTAATTGCTCTCGACTTAGGTAATTATAGAAATTAGAAAATATAATTTAATCTCTTAAGAAATATAAAATGTTGTATAAATATGCGAGAAGATAGTCTGAGCCGATTAGTGACCCTCATTTATGACGAGTCCTGTTCAACCACTCAGTCCGGTAAATTCCCAGGGATGATGAAACTTCGGACAATTCTGCTGGCGAGCCCAGGTAGTTCAACAACGGTCAGAAAGGATGAGTACCTGAGCAGGAGCACAGCTAGGACCCATTAGGAAGGAGAAGGACCAATCAACGTTGCCAAAAGTCCAGTACAACGGAATACTTAGATCACTTAGATAGTAGGGAGAGTTGCCCCCGCCACTTCTAGCAATATGAGTCGAACTTAGACATATTTGAGAATATGCAGAATAGTATTCGAGCTCAGACTTATCACCTCGTTTTCTAATTTTTTGTAAAGTCCTTTGAATACATACTTCAATTTAGTTAATCTAAGTCCGTCCAATTATTTATTTAATTAATATTCGCATATTAACATCTTCCTCATCCTATAAATTCCCGTTGATAAAGTTGAGTATTTCGATATTTTCCCGGGCGAATCAAAGACCACGTCGGTAACTTTAAATTTAAATAAAGATTTTTATCGTTGTCCACCAGGAGGAGGACATAACACATCACTGTGGCGGTCCTGCCGCCTCGGTCGCGCTCCCAGCGACCAGAAGTCAAAACAAATCTACCAAAGCGCCAATCGTCGGAGCGGGAAACTCTCTCTCTCTCTCTACAATAAACAATCCCACACAAATTCAAATAATCCCGCCTTTCTGCACGCCATAGCTGTGGCGTGACTGTGCAGTATTATTATTATTATATTATTAATTGTGACCTGACTAATTATAAGGAGAGACGCTAAGTTTTTTATGTAATAAATAAGTGAATAAATATTATCAAACACGAATTATTCTTGCAATATTATTATCATTATTAGTATATAGTGTAGTACCCCTTTACAACTACATCACAATTGAAACAGATTAGTTAAGAAATGCAGCAGTAGATCGCGTTGGTATTGCTTCAAGTTTTGAACAAAAATTCGAAAGTTTGGCAATCTCCTATACTACTACTACTACGTACACCGTAGTATACAGTCTCCATCCATATCCATATGTTCCAGCTTGCCTGTGGCAGCATTTAACAGCCGGCAACGTCTTAGCGTGGTTTTACACACTTTGTTAATTGTTGAAATTATTATATTTTGTTTTATTTATTAATTTTTTGGTAAATAATAAACAATGGCCGACAACAAAGAAAGAACTTTCATCATGATCAAACCCGACGGTGTCCAACGTGGACTCGTTGGTAAAATTATCCAGCGTTTTGAAGAAAAAGGCTTCAAACTCGTGGCCATGAAGATGGTTTGGGTAAGTTTTAATTTATTAAATATTATAATTACAAAGTTACTTTTAAAATTATCACTTGACTGGAATATTTATGATTTTTGATTCAGAGAAGTATAAAATTCAATTTTTTTTTTTTAAGGATCTCAAAGGTCAAAATTGAAGACTGTCATGGAAGGTTAATACTAACTTTTTTTTTTTTTAGCCAACTGAGGAGTTGCTGAAAAAACACTACGCTGACTTGGCTGCCAGACCATTCTTCCCCGGTTTAGTAAAATACATGAGCTCAGGTCCAGTTGTCCCAATGGTGAGTTTCGTGTAATGTCAAAGTTTATTTTAATCAATGTAGATAAGTTATGTAAGAACGAAACCTCTAAAGTTGAAACTTTATTATATTAAGTACCGGTCCTATCTTTTTCTCGCGTCGCACTCACGGCGAGAAACGGTACTATTCTTGTTGAACTCGTTTAGAAGAGAAATAAAAAGCTGGACTAATAGGGACTGGTTCTTAAAAGTAGCAACTTTGGCCATTTTTTAACAAATAAATTTCTTAAAATTTATTTTTCAAAAATTCCACTTTTAACTTTTTTAAATTTCTACATGTTAATTTTTTTTTCCATAATTTATTTGTTAAAAAAAAATATTAAAATTTAATAAATATCTGCTAAATTAATTTTCATAATTTAATGACATTAAAGTTAGCAGTCGCTTAATAATTTTTTAATTTTTTTTAACAAACAAATTCGTTTCAGAAAATAATTTTTAAAAAATTACATTTTTTAATTTTTGAAATTTTTACATGTCAATTATTTAATAAAATTTAATAAGTATCTACTATATTCATTTTCATTAAAATTTTATTTATGTAACAGGTATGGGAAGGTCTTGACTCTGTTAAAACTGGTCGCAAAATGTTGGGAGAGACCAACCCCAAGGACTCTGCACCAGGAACCATCCGCGGAGACTTCTGTATCCAGGTTGGACGCAACATCATCCACGGATCTGATTCAGTCGAGTCAGCCAAGCACGAAATTGGTCTCTGGTTCCCAGAAGACAAGAAAGAAGGTGTTATTGACTGGGCTTCCTGGGCTGAGAAATGGATCTACGAATAAGCTCCAAAATTGGTTAAGATTCTTGGCATGTGTTGAGCAGTACACTATCACGGTTCCATGATTTTTGATCCCCCGACAAAATATGGTTTTTTCTGAAATAATAATTATAATAAATTTATAATTACCATATTTTGTCGGGGGATCAAAACGCCTGATACCCACTATCACTGATCACTGCCTTTTGATTAAAATTTTAATAAATAAATAAATGATTCCATTCCTTAAGATTTTTGCTTATTATTATTCCTTATCAAAATTTTATTTTAGATAAAGACGATTTCGATTGAATTTTAAATGTTAGTTCTTTGAAATAAATATTTGATTTACTAAAATTACTTTCTAAATTATCAAATTATTTTTTAATATTAAATTATTTAAAAAAATACAATCAACAAATAATTTATTCCATTTAATAAATTTTTTTTCAGCTATTATCTTAGTATTAAAATGATTTGGACTAAATTTAAAAAAAAATTTATCTATAATAAATATTTAATTTACTAGAATCACTTATTGAAAATTATTCATTTAATTTTCAATATTAAAATAAAATTAAAATTTATGTAGATTAAATTTTTACATGTTAATTATTTAAAATGAATAATCAACTAGAATTACTTGTAAATTATTAATTTAATTTTCAATAAACAAATATTTCAATTTTTTTTCAGCTATTATTCTAATAATTAGAATTAAAAATATTATTTTAAACTAAATTTCAAATTTTAAAAAAGTATTAAATTTTTTTCAACTTTCTTATAAATTACTAAGCTAATTTTTAATAAATAAATAATTATTTAAACTCCTTTTAAAATAAAAGAAAAAAAAAATGCATGCAAATATTGGACAGGAAAAAATATTTAAATTAAAAAAATAATAATAAATTACGAAACAATCAATTATATTTATAATGTTGTAGTTGTTATTAAAATTTATTCGTTGTCTTCTTGGACAGTAGTTTTTTCAGATACATATAAACCGTCTAAGAACATACGAATATCCTTATTTTTTACAGTGGTTGATTGTTGGATAAGAGCAGCTGTAACAAATAAACAAAAACAGCATAAGTAAGTTTCCATTTAAATAATAATAATAATAATATAAATACAATAAATGATAAAAAAATATGAATAAGGTAAAAGACTCAGTTATTGACACTTGTAATTTTATTTTAATTAAAAAAAAAAAAAATAAATCAACTCTAATAAATTAATAAATATAATTTTTGAATTATAAATATTAAGATAATTAATTTTTTGAGAACAATTTATTTTTTTTAATTAGAATAAAATTTCAAGTGTTAATAACTGAGTCCTTTACCTTAAATAAATAAAAAAAATTACCTGATCGTGAAACATCTTCTAGGGAATTACCCTCAACAATTAGCTCATCCTTCTGTTTGGTCGAGTTACTAACGGTAACTCCTGGGGCCATTTTTACTCGTCTGATGAATTTCTCACCCAAGAAATTTCTAATTTCAACAACCGAGTTGTTTTCGGTAGTAACGCAGTTAATGGGGAAATGGGCATATACTGCACGCATCTTATAGATGTACCCTTTAGTTACTCCCTTTAACATATTTTCGATGTGCGAACACACAGTGCGCACAGCGGCTAATTCTTTTTTCTTTCCAAACCACTTTTCCACTTTTAGGGTTCGTGGGTTGATCATCTGCAATTAAATCATCAAGTTAGACACTTTCACTATTTACAAACAAATAAAAAAAATTTATTTTAATAATTCAACAATACTTAAAAAATAAAAATTAATAAATGATATTAAAGTTAGCTGACATTTAATAGTTTATAATTTTTTAATTTTACTAATTAAATAACAAATAAAAAAATTATACGAATCATTTTTAAAATTTTCTAGATTCTAAGCGGCACAAACTTTTTTTTTAGATGTTTTGTTTAATTCAAGTTGACAATTGTCAACTTTTGTTTATAATTAAAAACGTTTTGACTTGTTAAATAAAATCTCCTAAAAAGTCAACATTTTATTTTTTAATGCTTGGAATGCGAAATTTTTTCTCAATAATTTTTATTTATTTATTTATTTAATACACTAACGCCAATCGGCTATTTACGTTATTATGATTATTGTTAATTTAATATAATATTGTCGATAGAGACTCTAAATCAATGTACATCAGTTTTTTAAATAAAAAATTCAGTTTTTTTTAATAAAAAATTTTCAAATTTCGGCTAATTTAATTTTAATAATTTAAATATTAACTTACACGAATGTCCAGGGCGAGATGTTTGAACGATCGCTTCAGGGTACCTCTTGGTCCCTTTACAGTCACCATCCTTGACTTGACTGAGGCAGTCAAGCCATCAGGAATTTTAACCATTTGATTTGTCACGATCTGCTTCATGTTGCCGGCTAGAATAATAGTAATATTAATAAAATAAGTCTATTGTCAATTAATTATAAACAATTATTGATAGAGTAAAAACATAACCTGCGAGGTTGTTTACAGAAAATTAAATGTTAAAAAGTTTTTTATTAATTTACTTTAAGTGAAATTTTTATTAAAGAGAGTTTGAATAAAAGAAAATTAATTGAGTAATTATAAATAAAATAATAAAAATTGTGACAGGTCTGATGATTATTCGAGGTTAGAATCTTTGTTGAAATAATTATTGCTGTGAGCAATAAATAATAAATGATAAATATTAGATGAAAATGATAGAGTGTGAAGAAAGGATTTTGTGTATGTCGAATTTTTTAATTATTTTTAGGATGCACATGCGATTTTATTGGATATTAATTGATGGAAAATTTCGTTACCTGATCGCACGCGAGCAAATCTCCAAAAGAATTTTTCACCGTGCTTGTGGACTATAGCGTGGACTCTGTGTATGATAATGCAGTGAGTCCTACATTAGAGTGCCATCTTGTGATTGTTAGAGGGATTACTTTTAAATTTTGTTATTTAGAATTCTTTTGTTGAGATTTATTTCTCTTGTAAATAAAAAAAATGAAAATTAATTTAGAAGGTATTTAATAAATTTAATAATTTTTTTATCAAATAAAATATGACAAAAAAAAAATTGACATTTTAGAAATTTTAAAAAATTATAGATGCAATTTTTTAAAAATAATTTTTTGGAACCATTTTTTTTTTATTAAGTAAAATTAAAAAATTGTCAAGTGATTGTTAACTTTAATGTCATTGATTTTTATATAAAATATCAGATATCATTGATTTTTTAGTTTTATTAACAAATATATACTTTTTTTTAGTTAGTTAAATTTAGAACTAACATCATTTTATAACTGCGTAATTTTTATTAAGAATTTATTGACAGTTAAGTATTTAAAAAATTTTTATAATTATAATAAGAATTATTACCATAAATATTATTAGATTCCGGTTTTGCAAATTTTCAATGTCATTAAAGTTATAAAGTTAGCAGTCTCTTGACCATTTTTTAATTTAATTTAACAAAAAAATTTGTTCCACAAAATTATTATTAAAAAATTGCATTTTTTATTTTTTTACATCTCTACAAACTAATTTTGTTTTCTATAAATTATTTCTTACAAAAGTTTTTTTAACCAGCAAATATCTTTTAAATTTTTTTTTTTTGTTTTTTTATAAGTACTCTTGCTGGTTTGTTTGCCCAGCTGGCCTCTGGGTTGTCCCGTACAGCCAATGGTTGATCTGTTAAGTTATAAATTTTGAAACTAAGATGGCGCTTCGAGCAGGTCAAAATTTTATTTAGGCTATTAATCAGGACTATTATATATGTACAGTGTTAGTTGTGGTCAGTTGAAAAACCTATTGTTATATAAGCGTAGAAGCATCACATTTTCATAAATTTTTGATTAATTATTAAATAGCAATTTAATTACAATTAATAAAACATTTATTAATTTTTTAACTAATAAATTGGTTCTTGTGAATTTTGTAGTGAATTGAAACTTTAAACAGTAATTTCACATCAAAAAATTGTACTACGACGTTGGAGAGATAACAACATCTAAAAAATAGTGAAGATTTTTATGAAAATTAAGTAATCTGACATCTAAAAATTTTAATAATTTTTTTATTAAAAAAATTATTATAAAAATAAAAAAATAAAATTTAAGTGCAATTTTTAAAAAAATATATTTTTGTAACAATTAAATATGAGCATAATACCGTTAAAAAAACGTACAGACAAATTTATAAAAAAAATAGAGGTTTGGAAAATTCCGAACGTCGACTCATATCTTCTTGCGGATTCTAAAAAACAGTTTGACCATGAATTCAATGCTGGATTTTACGATGAAGATAAATGGATCGTAAGTGTAATAATAAAAATAAGTGAAATAAAGCATTCCTATTATGTGTCAGCCTTCGCTGTTGGTCCATATAATAGTCGTTTTCAGGTGTTTTCGAAAATTGGTCGAGGAGGTGTAAGCCCTGACTGTAAGAATCTTATAGACATGGAAAATTCGATTGGATCTGGATTTCCAATCAAAACGTTACCTCCACATGAAAGTTATTATATTCCGAATGGTACGCTGACGCTGGAGATAGAAATCACCTCCTACTGGGATACGAATCCATGCTTTCCTGGTCATCCTCACAGAGTACCTAATATAGACAGTTATGTACCTGACTCACTCTTAGAACTGTACCAAACCAGGAATGATGATGGTAATGTTATTATAAAAGTTGAGAATAATGAATTTAAAATTCATAAAAATGTATTGGAGACTCGATGTCCTGTACTAAATGAACTGATCGACGAAAGTAATCTACTAGCTCTTGAGGATATTAAACCTCAAGTATTTGAGATGGTAGTAGAATATCTCTATACAGGATACGTCAGTAATACTAATGATCAACTTGTTGACAATGCTGAGTGCTTATTAGAAGCTGGTCACCGATTTCAATTAGAATATCTGCATAAAACCTTTGGCTGAGCATTACATCGTAAAAGATAATATAGTTGACGCTAAAATTTTAGCAATTCGCTGCAAATGTTTAGCTTTGAGTTATTGCCTTTCGAAATTACACAGCGATTATTTAACTCATCCAGTTCGATACCCTCTGGATAGTATACCGTCTAAAAAGGAAATACAATGGATCTTATTCTGCGGTCCTGATAAGCTTCTGGACGAGGAGTAAGTTAACATCTTTTATCTACACAGAAAAAAAATTTCTTGACTGAAGAATAAAATTCTTGGCTCAAAAAAATTTTCGGGTACCTGAAGGAAGACCGAAGTTGTGTTGGCCGAATAAAAATTTTTCTTTACATTTTATTCTTGCTGAAAGTCATTTTTTCTTAATTCAAATTATCATAAATATTTGACACAATAAATTTTTATATTTGATCAAGATTTTTAGATACTTTAGGGAAGCATTGCCACCTACTTCAGCTGAGAAAAAAAATTTTCTCACCTTGAGAAAATTTTCTCTTGAATATTTGATACCCATTTTATATTATTTTAACGTGCTATTATACATATTGAATGAAAAAAAATGATGAAATATTATTTGATCTTCCCATTTAACATGTTAATCAATAAAAATATTAATGAAAATTTACTTCTATCAAAAACTAAATTTTTTGGAGCAAGATGTTGAATTTTCACAAAAAAACAAGACTTTCTTGGCTTAAATAATTTTTCTTGGATCAAGATATGTATTTCTTTAGGCAAGAGAATTAATTTTGTTGGAATATGTGAAATTTCTTGTGTCCAAAAAAATTTTTTTTTGCTCAAGAAAATAATTAAGAAGAAAAATATTTTCTTGGCTCAAGTGAACCTTTTTTTCTGTGTACTTATTTTCGATTCACTGTCTTTTCTAATCATTTATTATAATTTAATATTTCTATTTTTTTTTTTTAGAGTGATAAAAAGAGGATATAACCCATTGGATCTATACGAAAATGAACGATTTCCTAGACCCATTGATATGAATGGTAAAATGTGAAGAATATCTCGTTATTGGATCGAAAAGAAGTAGTGTATTTATCTAAGCCGAAATAAACCTGATTTCAAAATTAAAAATAAATTCCTATATTATAGATTAGTAAAACAAATTGAATAATATTTTTTAATTTCATTGTTTTTTTATTTTCACTCTTTATTGAAATATATAATTTAAGACACACAAGTTTTTGGACTTGAAATTTTTTTTATTTTTTAGCTCAGAATAAAAATTTTTTACACGCTCTTTTGGAATTTGTCACGCGATATAATAAATAAATTTTTTTTACATGAATTATTATCATAATTCTGTCTTAATACATGTAATCAATAATTACTTAATAAAAGATTACTTCCAAACATTTTCACTAATACTTTTTTTTAATCTCAAGTGGAATTTTTTCACATAATAATTTCAATAATTATTACGCACTCGCATAATTAATTTGTAATACTGAAATTAGCTAACGTCTGACAATTTTGATATGACAATTAAGTTGGCAGTCACTTAACTATTTTTTAATTTTATTTAACGAAAAATTTATTTTAAAAAATTGCATTTTAATTTTTTTTTAATTTCGAAGTGTCATTTTTTTGCTATAATTTATTGAGATCATTTTTAGTGCAAATTGATTGAAAAAAAAATTACAACCACTTGTAATTTTTTTTTTTATTTTTACTACTTTTAATTTTCATTAAAAAATAATTAATTTTACATAATAATAAAAATAATATTAATCGAATATTAAATTTATGATTAATTTCCATGCATCTTATTAAAAAAATTACTTCACAATTAATTAATTTATTTTCCGGCAATAATATATAACAAGAATAATATTGTACCTAAACAATTACAACATTTAAAAAAATCAAATGAAAATGTAAAGTAAAAGAAAAAAAAAACACAATTCAACTCAAATGCATGCACTAACAATTCTGTCAATTTAAATGTAAATTTTGATAAAACTAAATTTTTCTACAAGTTTTGTATTTTATTTTTAAGAAATAGGATAGGAAAATTTTTGATACGATGAATAATTAATTTGTTTTTTTTTTTTTTTGTTATTTTTTGTGAAACAATTGATGAAAATGAGCTATAATATTTATTTTATAAAAATTAGTAAATAATTTAAGTAATAAATATAACTACATATAATAATGAGTACTTATTTTTTAGATTCTAGTTGTACTCTGTGATTTAATATTAGGGAAAAAATTTTGTAGAAAATAATTAAAAAAAAATTTTTTTTACAAGAAATAAATATTTAAAAATTAAATGACTATTTTTTATTCACTTAAATAACCACCTGCGTGTTATGATTAATTTATTTTTATAAATTTAAGTAAAACATCAGATGTCATCAATTTTTTAGTTTTACTTACAAATATATGATAGTTTTTTATGTTAGTTAAATTAGAACTTAAAAAATTGCACTCTTAGTTTTTATTGAATTTTTATTTTAAAATTTTTGTGATAATTTTTTTTTATTAAAAAAAATTCTAAAAATTTCCAGATGACTGATAAATTCAGTGACATAATATTTATGGATAAAATCAACCCCAATGACTCTATAGCAAAGCTACAAAAATTAAATTATTAATTTATTTTTAATTGTGAAAACTTAAGGTACTTAATAATTCCTTGAAAGGCTTTTTATACTTTAAAATTGAGGATTAAAATTCCCAAGAAAAAATTTTTTTTTCAATATATAAATTAACACTATGAGAAGAAAAGTAATTGTAATTAATGTTATAAAGAAAAGTTATTAAAATAATGCGAAAACTTAAAAAAAAAAATCTTATACATAAAAAAATTAAACGAATAAATTGATTAAACATTAAAAATCTTATTTTTGAAATATTAATACTTTATTCAAACATTAAATATATCTATATGTATATAATTATCCATATTAATTGTTTAATATTTTAGTTATTTGTTTGTCAAATATTTTTTTATACATGGCGCAGTCGCTTATCACATTAAACATTATCCTTGTATACCTTCAAACTTTTAATTTTCATTAAAAAATAATTAATTTTACATAATAATAAAAATAATATTAATTAAATCTTATATTCATGATTAATTTCCATGCATCTTATTAAAAAAATTACTTCACAATTAATTAATTTATTTTCCGGCAATAATATATAACAAGAATAATATTGTACCTAAACAATTACAACATTTAAAAAATCAAATGAAAATGTAAAGTAAAAGAAAAAAAAAAACACAATTCAACTCCAAATTACTTTAATTTAAATAAAATCCTTATAAATAAAAAAAAATAGTAATATTAATAATCATAATTACTTAATTAATAAACCATTAGGTTACAAGACAATAAACCTTACAACTCAAAAAAATTATTAAAGATTGAGGATTAATCGTTTTACTTTGGAATGAATGAGGTCAAATAAATAATTGACTGAAGCGTAACTCGCTTATTCAATTACTCAAAAACAAATTAATTATAAAATAATAATAATAATAATAATAATAATAAAATAAAATAACGAGGTTGATTACTAAATACTACAAACCAAAAAAAAAAAAAACAACAAATTATCAGTTGGGCTTAATTTAAACTAAAAGAAAAATAATTATTTTTAATCTTATAAATTACAATGCCCAAGCGAATTGTCAATTATTCAACCTTCAGAAAACTACCTTAAATTTATTTGTAATTTGTATTTGTAATTTATCGTTTAGATTAGGCAAAGTTCTTTAAATTTACATTTAATCTACTGTACAGTGAACTTATTATCTTTTTTTTTTTTATTATTTTAATTCATTAATATTACTTTTTCAATAAAAATAATAAATCAAATATTTCCATTTATACAAAATAATAATTCACAACTACGTCCTCGAGACACGTTTTTTGGCACTAGAATTAGCCTCTTGATCCTCTTCTTCCTCCTCCTCCTCCTCCTGAACCTCCTGGCTATCTCCATCAAAATTATCCGGATCGACTTGATAAATAAAATCCGCGACATCTTGAATCGACTCGCCATCGTCATTTTCATCAATTTCTTCAACATTCTGCTCAATGACAATTTCATTCCCCTCATCATCATTGGTGACCATCAACACAGTGTCATTAATCCTAATCTGCTCCTCAAATTCTCCATCATTAGAATCCAAAGTATTTAACCTTTCATCATCAACCTCCGAGCCATAGTATCCAGAATTGCTCTCCAATAACTTATCATCCAGCTCAGGAATGTTTTTTTTCGCTTTCACCCTTCTCGACTTGTCATTTTCATGAATCGGCATTATCGGACTAAGAACCGGTGGTCCATCATCATCATCATCAGTGTCATTATCTCTTATATTTTCTCTCTCCTTTTTTTCTTCTTCAGAATCATCATGATCGCTGTTGCTATTAGAATTGTCTTCTCTTTCAATAGTTACATTCTCGTGTTCATTTTCACTGTCAGATTCACAAGCAGATTCTTCACTGTGTTCACCATTAACCAAGTCTTCAGAATCAAAGTCACCTTCTGCTTCTTCTTCTTCTTCTTCTTCTTCACCTTCTCCTTCTTCACCTTCTTCACCCTCACCTTCAACCTCATCATCTTCTTCATTATTATCATCATCAACTTCACCATCATCTCCTCCTCCTCCTTCTTCTTCTTCTTCTTCTTCTTCTTCTTCATCACCTTCACCCAACAAAGAAGCTTCATCACCAATCAAGCTTCCTTTATCATCATCAATTTTAACATCTTCATCCACGCTTCTTTCTTCATGATCTTCATGATCTTCATGATCATTGTCTTCATCCTCATCATCATTATCATTATCATTTTCATTACTATTATCATTATCATTATCATTCTCATTGTCATGATCATTATCATTCTCATTTCCATCTTCATCCCTCCTCTGCTTATTAACAACACAATTAGCCATATGAGATTCAAGCTTTTCCTCGCTATCAAAACTAAGCGCACACTTTGAACACCAAATGTGATCATTATTATTAATATGAATGCTCATATGAAGCAACAACTTGCTCCTAGCATTGTGATACCTCCCACAAGTCTTACATGTAAAATTATTCCCCTCGCAGGACAAGATAGCTTCATGAGCCTCCTTAAGATGCTGCGACAACCCGCGATAAGTCGTGCACAATTTCAAACAAACTCCGCAAGTAACAGCTGCCTCAGCTCTATGAAAGCGTATCAAATGCTGCCAGAGGTGTTTCTTAGCTGGCCACTGTTTCCCACAAACCTCGCAAGCACACACTGTGTTCGTAGACTCATCATAAACCTTTCTAGAATCCTTGCGGTTGCATTTCATCGGGGACATCCGGTGAGAAGAAGACAGTGGCATTAAATTTGGCACTGGTTTGTGTCCAGATAATTGCAAATTAATATCCTCAAATAAATTAAAATCAGGTATATTTAAATTAGACTCATTTAAAATATCAACAGGCTCCTTTTTAATCATATTATTATTTTTTAAATGCGTTTCAAGTATCGAGGTAGTTGAAGTATCATTATTATTTTTTGATAAATTATTTTTACGCGTACAATTACTGATATGATTCCAAAATAATGTTTTAGTACAAAATTGTTTTTTACAATTTTCACATTCAAAATTTTCACGATTACGCATTCGTCTTTTACCACTATTAGTTTTCATTTTTTTAAACATCCTCTCAGGATCGGTATTATGAATCAATTGATAATGATCAGCTAAAGTTTCATAATTTAAAAAAATCTCAGGACAAATTTCACAATCATAAGTATCTTGAGGTTTGCGCTTAGCCGACTTAACCTTCGGTAATTCATCATAAACATCATCATAAAAATCATCAGGCTCCTCTTTAATTCCATCATCATTACCCCCACCCTTACCCCCATCAGAATTATTTTCAAATCCCGCCAATTGATCCTTGGGCACATTATGAACATGCTCGTAATGATGCCTGATATCCGCATCAGTGGTAAAAACAGCCAAACACTGTTTGCAAGTTCTAAAAACTTTCCCATGGCATTTTTTCGTATGATCAAAAGCCTTCCACTTAGAAGCATACTGTTTCCCACAAACCTGACAAGTATTAGCCTTTAATAAAACTCCAGGATGAACACTCTCAACATGATTCTTCAGCTCCTGCGGATCTTTCATTGGTATCAAACAAACCCCACAAGAAACTCCAATTTCATTTCTGTGCAGTGACAAAATATGCATTTTTAATTTCAATTTATTCTCCACAGTATCTCCACAAAAATCGCAAACATTCGGCGAGTGATATTTATGATCCTTCCGATGAGCTTCAAGATCTTCCTTAGTCCGGAATAATTTTTTACAACTCGCATGGTCACAAGTCAAGTCTGGATGGTTCATATGATTAACACGATTGTGCGTCATAATTCCAAGTTTCGAAGTAATTGTCTCATTACATAAATGGCACGTGTAACTACTGTGATGATTCTCAATGTGCTTCTGCAAGCTCGCCCGGTCCTTAAAAATTCTCTCGCAAGCTCTACAACGAGTTAGTAACGCTCCGGGATCCTTCCGATAATTTTGGCAGCCTTTCATGTGTCTCTTCAATAAATACCGCTTGTGGAAAGCTTTGTTGCACTTTTCGCAATGATGAATTGTGTCTTCTTCCACAACGGGGGCTTTATAATTAGTCTCTTTAAGAACTTTCTTGCTTTCGGGCTCGTAACGGTGAATTTTAGCAATGTGCGCAGCTAAATGATCCTTAGAAGCGCTCGTTTTTAAACAGTACTTGCAAGTAACGTCCTTGTGACCTTTATGAACTCTATTAACATGCTTCCAAAGGTGAGAAGTCCTTCCGTAGCATTTGTTACATAAATCACACGGGAATAATCCGTGGATTAGTCTTCTGTGCTGGCACAAGTCTTCCCAACTTGGGAATATCAAGTCCGTGCACATTTCACAAGTCAAATCAACCTCAGCTGCATTACTGTTGCTTTCATACGTACTAGCAGGTATGACTTCACTTACCGACTCGTTAACAACACCATTGCTGTAATTTTCAACTTCTAACCCGTGAATTTTACGGTGGCGCGACATTTTTGATTTATTTGAATAAGGACGACCGCAAATGTCGCAACTAAAGTCCCCGTTTGTCAGCGGCCAGTGCTTGCTTTTAACATGACCGCTCAATTGAATTACATCCGGGAAGACTTTTAAGCAAACACCGCAAATTAGAGGAACAGTGTCTGAGTGGACTCCCATAACATGCTTCCAATAATCAACCCGGCTGCCCCAAAGTTTTCCGCAAATTTCACAAGTATTAGGCGACGCGCCCTGCAAAATATGATGCTGAGCATGTTCATTTTTAAGCGACTTGGTAGAAAATATTTTACCACAATCCTCACGCTCGCACCTAATCTGGCTTTCTGAGCTGTGAACACTGCTGACGTGTAACCAGCGCTCCCATTTACTTGGATGAGAACTTCCGCAAATTTCGCATACAAAAAATAAGTGGTACTGCGCTTTGTTCCCATTTGGGTTTGCAGGGCTGGAATTAACAGCAAGATTATTATCAGTATAAGGAGTCTGTTCCTTGTGCGCATTACGCTGGTGGCGAATTAGGTGATCTTCATTTGGAAAAGACTTGTAGCAGATAAAGCAATCGACCTTCTCACCGTCCTCATGGTCAAAATCAACGGAATTTAATCTAAGATGATCCTGAGTGGTGTCATTAATATTCTCATTGCTGTAATAGCCACTGTTTAATTGAACAAAGTTAGCTGGATCATAGGAAGGATCAATATTGTGAATCGACACGTGGGTCATTAATTTCTTCCTTGAGTCATGTTGTCTGCCACAAATGGTACAACTGTAGCGCCTTTGTTCTGATATCTGAAGCTTAGAAGCTCCGTGGTACATATTTACGTGGTTCAACAATTGATCATTGTCCGTACAGATTTTTAAACACACTCCACATGCAAATGCTGCGTACTCTTTGTGAGTTGCGCGGATGTGCAACCATAAAGAAGCTCGGTCGTTAAAATCACGGGTGCAAATTTCACATACAAATACTGTTTCTATCTCAATCATATCTTGCTGCTGAGTTTCATCTTCTTCTTCTTCAGCATTAACAGGAGAAAAACAAGGCTCGCGTTTTATTTTAATTTCTTCACGTAGATTATTTACAGGCAATTTTTTTTTCAGGCATTTTTCATCGTCTAACATCGGAGTTGGATCCACACCGTGGGAGGAAATAATATGCCGGCTTAAAGAGGATTTTAGTGTAAAATGTTTTTTACATAAAAGACAGATAAAGGGTTTGTCGGACTCGTGAGTGACCTCGTGGTCTTTTAGAGCTTCAATCGAAGTAAAAGACTGAGGACAAGTTTCGCAAAACCATTTCTTGGGTTCTGAATCAACTTGAGGTACTCTTAGTGATTTATAAGGATCGCGGTCGTCGCGCTTAAGTACTTCAGCTCCGCGAGTCAAAGCTTGCTTTAAAATAGTCAGCTGGGGATTTTTTGATAATTTAGCCTCGGCTGTGCGGTAATCTTTGCTCTCTTCGTCAGACTCGAAGCTCGAAGCTTCTGAGGTGTCCATAAGACTCTTGCCCTTCTTTTTTAGCAGCAAGCTTATTGATTCGCGGATTCCAGTGCAGACTTTTTTGTGCTTGTTCAAGTCGGTGATGTTCGTGTACATCTTCGGGCACGTGTTACACTGGAATCGATTGTCTGAGGGGACATAGACGCCGAGTTTAGGAGGCGGAGGCTGGCCAGTGTGTCGGGATTTTATGTGGTCCATTAGATTTCCACGTGTCGAGTACAAACGTGAGCAGTATTGACACGTTACTGCTGGGTGTCCTCGGTGATTTGAAGACACGTGACCCCAACGGTGCTTGGCTGTTGAGTAGGATTTGTTGCAGAGGTCGCATTGGTACAGACGCTTGAAGGATGTGTGGTCGTCTGTGATTACCTTTTCACCCACTACGTCGCCGGCTCCGGCGTGAATTCGCGCGTGCAGTGACAGGTGTCCTTTCGAGCTGAAGGCTTTGTTGCATAATGAACATACGTAGACTTCATGGTGCTCGGATTTGTGTTGGAATAACGCTGGCGAGATGAGCTGGCGAGATGAGTTCTGCTGGCGCGGGTCGGGCTCTTCTGGGTCTTCTGTTACCATTGGGGGCATTTCCAAAAAATCACTTGGGTTTGTCTCCATGTCCATTTCATACTCCTCGTCGTATTTTCTGTCCTCGCCATCGTCTAAGCCTGTTTTTAGAATTTTTTTTTTTTTTAATAAATTTGTACGGTAAATTTTAAGACTTTGAAATTAATAAGATAAGGTGGAAGAGCCAGTTATTGACACTGGCCTAATTGTTTGACACTTGCAATTTTATTCTAACCAGAAATTTAAATAGCGCGCTACGCGCGCACCTTAATTTTGACCAATAAGGAATCAGGTCTTATTTTTTTGCGAGTTTCGACTATTGATTAACTTCACATTCTCGTGTATTTTAATTGTAGGGATTAGAAAAATTGAATGTCCTCAAAAAAATCAATTTTTTTTTAATTTATAATTTAAAAACTAGATTTAGTACATAATTTATTAGAATTGATTTGGTTTTTTTTTTAATTAAAATAAAATTGCAAGGATCAATAACTAGGCCAGTGTCAATAACTGGGTCTTTTACCTTAGAAATTTTTTTATATTTTAATAACAATTGAATTTTGTAAAAAAAAATTTAGTAAAAATTATCATAAAAAAAATGTGGTAAGAATTTTACATGTAAAAATTATTATAAAAAAAAATGTAGTAATAATTTTACATGTAAAAATTATTAATGGAAATTTTTTAAAACATTTTTTTTATTGTAATTTATTTAGGTAATTATTTACAAGTGGGGTCAACCCTATTTCTGGTCATATTTAGGTAAAAAATTAACATTTTTTTATTCTGCTTGTTTTTACGGTGCATTTATAATAAATAATGTAAAAAAAAATAAAGATTTTGATAGTTTTTTTGCCTTCAAAAGTTGAAAAAAATTTTAGCTCTCATATTTTTGGATAAAATTTCTACTTGATCTTTTTTTGATTTTATTAATATATTGTTTTTAAATACACAAAAAAATGTTGAATATTGCAATTTTCTAAAAAATTTGTTAAGATTATGATAATCAACTTTTTTTTTTTTTTTTTCTATCAAATTGTTCATTTTTTTGTATTGAAAAAAATATGTTACTGAAATTAAATAGTAATTTTGTTAAAAAAAATAAAAATTAAAATGGTTGGACCCTACTTGTAAATATTAATCTTTATATGTTATAAAAGATAAAAAAAAATTAACAGCTAACTTCAATATTAATTAAAATAATTAAAAAATATAAAAAGATAAATTACCTTCTTCAGTTCCACTATGTTCAAGAATTTCTTCAATTTCCTGATCGGCTTCACCGTCAGAATTTAATCTTGGTGGAGTACCCAACGCGGCATTCGGATTAACTATTGGTGCTTCAGGTATAAGAATTGGCATCTTTTCTTTTTCCTTAAGTAACTCTGAGCGTAACTCTGAATGTTTTTCCATGTCATTATGTAATCCACAGCTTGACTAATGTAAAAATAATTAAATATTAATTTATATTATATTATTAATTAATAAAAAGAAAAATAAATTTATAAATACTCACAGATTCTTTTGGTGGTAATTTTCTTTCCAATAGCGCGACAGCATTGACGCAAGCCGTTCGAAAATCGTAGAAATTTTCCAGATTATACATACAACGGTAACATAAACATTTTGGTAATCTGTCATCTTCATCAATCTGTAATGAAAAATAATTTAAAAAATTAAATTCATTAACATAAAAATTAAATATTGCTTACAAACCAATCAACAAGAAAAAAATAATTTTCTAAAATAAAATTTACGATGAATAAATTTAAAAATGACCAAAGAGAAAACCAGGATACTGTAATGGGTACCTGGACAAAGGATTCACGGTCAAAAGGACCCTACTTAGGATTAAGGAGAGAATAAGAAGGAGAAGAAGAAGAGGAAAATAGCATTTTGCTGGGTCGTAAATGTGAATAGCGAGGCCAAATTCAGGTCAGAGTTTCTCTTGTACAATCGGAGCCAGGTATACGACCACTAGGTTGTAAAGTGGGACAGGTAAAACGTTCGGACGACCGTAGCAGATAACGAGCATGTGCTGTGCTGGGTCTGGGGCCGAGGCAGTTAACTTGCAAGACTCGTCTTGCCGGAGAATACAATAACACTCTCTTTTTCTGGGGGCCAACGGAAAATACTCCGAAATGCAGAGCCTCAACGAGCAACATGATGTTGGTGATCTTCACCAGAAGACATCATTTTTATAATTTATCTCCAAGGTATGGATAATAATCCATCAGTGATACTCAAGAAGAGGACTTGGTAAGAAATAAGCCGCAACAAGATGACACTGGATATCATTTCAGATTATACTTAGTGATATCTGTAGTGAAAAAAAAATTTCAGATAATAGCTACACAGAAAAAAAGATTCACTCGAGCCAAGAAAATATTTTTAATAAATAGATTTTTTCCAAAAAATTATTTTATAAAAAATTGCATTTTTTATTTTTAAAAACTTTTAAAATGTCAATTTTTTTTTTTCCATTTTTTTGTCATAATTTATTGGTTAAAAAAATTATTAAATATCTGCTTAATTACACAGAAAAAAAGGTTCTGAGCCAAGAAAATATTTTTCTTCCTAATTATTTTTTTGAGCGAAAAAAAAAAATTTTTTGACAAGAAATTTCACTTATTCCAACAAAATTAACTCTCTTGCTTTAAAAAATACATATCTTGATCCAAAAAAATTTATTTAAGTCAAGAAAATCTTGTTTTGAGAAAATTCAGCTTCTTGCTCCAAAAAATTTAGTTCTTGATAGAAGTAAATTTTCTTGTCTTGAGAAAATTTCTCTCTTGCTCCAAAAAATTAAATATAAAGATAGAAATAAATTTTCATTAATATTTTTATTGATTAACATGTCAAATGGGAAGATCAAATAATATTTCATCATTTTTTTTCATTCAAAATATGTATAATTGCACGCTAAAATAATATAAAATGGGTATTAAATATTCAAGAGAAAAATTTTCTCAAGGTGAGAAAATTTTTTTCTCAGCTGAAGTAGGTGGCGTAGCTTCCCCAAAGTATCTAAAAATCTTGATCAAATATAAAAATTTGTTGTATCAAGTATTTATAATAATTTAGTAATTAAGAAAAAATAGACTTCCAAGAATACA